GGTTCACTAGATCCAGATAAGATTGGTTCACTAGATCCAGTTGTTCACTATAAAGGTCTACATTAACAGTTTTTCCAGGTTTCAGCAATTCAAAATGAACAATTCCGCAAATTCTCCATCAAACACGCAGAAGCGCCTTTTCGGGATGTAAACCCTTTGTAACCCCTATTAAAACTGCCTTTTGAGTTTTGGATTATCATATAGGACTTATTTTTTTGTCTCCACTAATCAAACGATCAAAAAAACGTTCTGTATGGTGCCGTTGAAGCAATACGTTGCATGTGATGGATAAGTTGGCTTTGTTCTTTTCGGACAGATTATGGGGGACTCAAAACACCTGCTTTGCTTATTTTTCCATTCTGCTTTAAATGTTCTTGGATGGTCGACCAAGGTTGGTTAAGAGTGTTCGACATGAATTTGCTTCCACTTCTGCCCTTAGCATGTTTTTGTCGACATGCGCAGAAACGGCATTACTTTCTGGCCCCCCTATTTTTTATCTGTTGCTTATTACGTTTGTCTATTATTTTTGTTACACTAAAACAAATGTTCAAATTAATTTGTGAATTTGAAATTGTTTTCAAATTATATTGCAATCTCTTTATATGCCCTAAACTATTACTTTTAATAAACGCTGAATGGGGGTAGTACGGTGGTATTGCACTATACACCATAATAGGTAAACTTTGAATCCTTTGGGAAGCTTCAGCTGCTCATTTCCTTAACCTTTCTTTGTAAATTCTTACAACACTTGTAATTTTTAATAGCTAGTATGTGAAGGCAATACCAGTTGACCCATGGTTACATCGCTGGTGTCCCCCATACTTTTAGTAGTACCTATTCCTGTACCTATTCAACGAATATGCTAGTTTATCAATAAATAATAATCTGTATATGTTCCAAAGGTCATACAATGAAATGCATGAAAGAAGTTTTTTACTGCCTAATAGCCAGTTGAACTTCCAGTAGAAATCATTTAAAAAAACTTTGATTAAGTAATCATATTTAATGACTTTTGTTTCGTAATTCATATCTGATAGATCTAAAAACAGACATTTAATTTAACTGTACAAAATTCTGTATATTCCTTTACTTCTTATATCCTATTATTTTCAATAATCAACTGAAAAGAATATACTTTTATAATTCTTGCAACCTGAAAAGGACTGAACAATATTGTGCTTGTAGTAAATTAAAGATTTTTTACTTCCCAAGTGAGAGATTCGTAACCTGTAGACGATACATAAATTCGATTTTGAAAATTTTGGGTGATTTTTCTTTGCTGAAAGAAAAAAAAACCTATTGCTTGGAATTTTTTTAACAGCAACTATATGTTTGAAAGTATTAATTATCGTCTGCTATTTGACAGTTTTGTTTTTATGAAAAATGTCGCTTTTAAAAAAGTAACGGGTGGAAGGCTATGTTTATGTTCTTTGCGAAGAAAATTATCCATATCAGGTTATTACAAAAAGTTATGAAAACCATGGTTTTTCGATATCTAAAACTATGATAGGTTATATTGTTAAACATTTAGCTTCAAATGTAAAAATTGTTCTAAATACTTATCCAAGCAAAAAAACGGAATTTTTCGAATGTTGCAAAAGTATGATCTTTAATGTTAAAGAAAATCCGCCACGTCAAAGGAAAATTGTTGTTGTCGCCATTTGCAAAATCACTAAAATGCTCAGTGTCAACTGTAAACAAAGTAATTAATGCTGATTTAAATTTTAAAAAGGTGAAAAAACATAATAGGCATCGCCTTTCTCCACGACATATCGCAGCAGAATTCTTCATGAGACACATTTATCCGCACAAAAGTGGAAAAATGTTTTCACAATAGACAAATCTTGGATGAACGTATCTTGGGTAATTACAATAAAAATAAATCCATTTATTATCATCAAAGAAGAGAAAAAAAATAATCTAAAGAAAGTATTCAAAATCTAACCTTAGAAAGTATTCTAAGGCATTTATGATTGTTTGCTGGTTTTTCACATAACGGCAAATTAAAAAAAGGACAGTGGAGAAAAATGTTAAAATCAACTTCACATACTATCAAAAACAAATTTTATACACTCTTTGCAAGTATGAAATACCTTCTCTGCACACACAATGCCATCAATCAGTAGAACTGTATCAAGACAAAGGAAACAGCGACAGGTCAAAATCTACTGATAATTTCGTGTGAAAAAATGGAACAGAAATGGGTATCAAGGCCCTACCCTTCACTCAAATCCCTACTAAATTCTCCTGATCTATCACCAATGTATGTTTGCTCTTTTGGACTTTTAAAAAGCGGATTGTCCAAAAGTCCACCTACAACCTCCTTAGACTTTGAAAAGCTATTCTAGAGCAATGGGAAAAAAAGCCTTTTCTGATAATATAATACAAAAGGATTTATTGTCTTTGAAATTAACGTGTATAAAGATAGTGAAGAATAAGGGTTATCAAACAAAAAATTTAAAACATAAATATTTTAGGTAAAATATTTCTGTAATTACAATGAAACTTGTCTAAACAAATGGGCGAACAACCTCTTGTAATGTCAATAACATAATGATGATCCTATTTTTGTGTTTAAAGATATATTATTAAGATATTGTGTCAAAACTTGGTTTCTATGAAGCAGGAATCAACTTTCAGATTAATTTTACAACTTATATTTACATAGTAACGTTTTAAAGAAACAGCGCTATAGAGTTTTCAACATGTACCTAAAATCCAAGAGAAACTTTGTTTTATTTCGCTGATGAAATGTTTAGCTAGTAAAACAAATAGTCAGAATTCATGCCTTCTTTGCATATCTGATATACTTTCGAAACAAATAAACTAGGAACTAATATGTGAGTGCCTATGTGGGCATCGGAGACAGTATCCTGAAATAAACTTCGATCATCAAAGGAAATTTTTTTCGAGTAGAAACTCAAGTTTATTGCAAATAAAAAGAACTTAAATAGTGGTGAAAGTTTCATTTTTCGTTTAAATTTCGAGATGGATGAAGTCTTTAAATGTATTTGTTTCAAATAGTCAAATACTTTTTTTAATGTCAACATAGATATTTTTTAACTATGATTTTAATTTCCCACATTTATTGGTATCAAATGTAGAAACAAATATGAGGAAATCGGGAAAATGCATTAAAGACGGATTCCGAAGGAAGTTCCAAAGCGCTGAAAAATTAATTGGCATGATCTTACATAAGATTTTATTCCATAGTTAGTAGGCGTTAGTGTTTAAAATAACTGAGAAAATAAGAAAGTTGATGTGGTCACTAAATGATATCCTTAGACGGCCTTTTAAATTTTACACATCCTTGCTGCATTTAAGTTAAACTTATTTTCTCGAATTTCATTTGGAGATATATTTCTCATTCAATTACATCAGTTCTTATCTCGCGACAAGACAAAAATACAAAAAATCATGCATCTTCATTAAAAGTTGAAAAATATAGAAAACCATAAAACACCAAATACAGTTAAGACAATTAAAAGAACACAATTTGGGCAATTAAAATTAGAGTTTCTATGCAAAAACAAGTAATTCGGCTACCAGGCAAGTAGGTATATTTCTCGGTGAAAAAAACTCAAAGTTTACTTTTGGCCCCACTCGGCAAAAAGACATTGAAGGTGATGGAACTGGTTTAATTCATTATACCGCTACGTTTCAAATATAAATAAATGGCTGTTCTGTTAGGCTTAGTCTCACTTGAGAAACTTTTAAGTTGTTGATAATTCTACAACTATTGGATGCAGATTAACTATAGGCATAAAACCCTTAACCGGACTATAAGAACAACATAATTCAATCACTTTTAAAGAAAAAAATGCACAATTTACCAACATGTAAGAACCAAAAAAAAAAAAAAAAACTTAGCTCTCCGAGCCTAGTAACAGAGTTGGTATATATATATATAATACACCCGCTATAAATACACACACACATATATATATCTTTTTTAAAAAATACCTCTTCTAAATCTATTTTAAAGGCATTTTTAACCTGTTTTGGGAAAAAAAGACCTTTATTCTATTCGTACATATAGATGTTATGCAAAAACATCATTTAGATGGATTCGAGAGCGGTCAAAATGGATATTTTCGTTGAAGTATGATGGCCGAAATTTTTACGTAATTATAATATTTCCTTTGCTTCATACAAGAAAGTAAGAATACACGTTTAAAGATTAGCAATCATAAAACATTGAACTAAGTATAATTTCATTAAAATTTACGTACTATGAGAACCATTTTACTCAAATGAGCATACGAGAAACATTGGCTTCTGGTATTTATAGATATATGAAAATATAATAATATTATTATTCGTTATTAAGCTTTTATAAGCGTTTCTCAGATCGATAAAAAAACGCAGTTATAGTATAATTTGTAAGCTGCCTTTCTGTTTAAATTCTAAATCTCAGTTAGAGGTGCTGATATATATAAATAAAATTCTATGGAGCAGTTGATGATTATAATTATGATCATATTGGGAAAAAACTGATAATTCAGAGAGAAATCTAGAATTTTTTAAAAGAGGTTAAAAACACAGAAATAAGTCTCGCAAGAATTTAAAGTTTTAATAATTCCTAAAATTCCTTTTTTGCTTAACATTAAATTATGTATCTTTTGCTTGACATCAGGAATAAAACTTGAGCTATATTGATTTATATTCTTAAAGTCCCATCAAAAGCAGGAAACATGAGAAGTGTGCAATGGCCTCTCCGAGACTCGAACCTGGACTTCTAGAATATGCGCAGCACGAAGGCATCCTGAAAGGAGGTAGAAAATACCTGATAGCCTAATTCGAAAACGCTTTTTAATAAGGTATTCGAAATAGCTGATAATGATGGTCGTAACCCAACGGAAGCTATGTCACTAAAAAGGATGATTTTATATACTTCAAAAAAGAGGGAAATACAGAAGAATGCCATAAAATTTTAATATCATATCCCTGAAATAATCATATTTTACTTTTCTTAATATTTAAATGTTGCGCTATTTTAGACTGAAGAATAATTCCCAAAAAGATGACATGTTCAAAAGTGATTTATTCACTTCAGCAACAAAAATATATTTGGCAACTACAGAAAATCTCGCGGCTGAAGTTTGCAATATCACGTAGATAGATATAGAAAATTAGAAAATCATATCGGAGAGGACCGACTCCATCCTTTCTAACAGTTTTTTTTTTTTTTTTTTTTTTTTTTTTTTTTTTTTTTTCAGAATACTATTTTCTACATGGATATTGTCATCTTCTATATCAAAATTGATATGATAACCTTAAAAGTTGAAGGGTTTCAGAAACGCTTATAAATGATAAAAAGTAAACATCATGTATGAAACATATATAATGCATTTATTATTTATGATGAAATAGTAACTGAAGGTTAAATACTTGCTTAATGGCACATTGCCCACAGGAAAAGCAAAAGGAAACAGAGTACTAAGAAAGCAATGGCTACATTAGTTTCGTTCTGAAACTGACCAAACTTCTGAAGCCACGAGTATATTTACAGACGAGTAGTAATTTATCTGTAGGACCGAAAAAATTATTCAAGCATTGAGTACTGAAGTTGCATCCTCCAGTGTGGAGTATTGCTACACGCATACAGTTTCAAGAATTTCGGAATTTCTGCACCAAAAAATAGTAGAGACGCTACAGTATCTGTCACAGCAACTTGATCTAAAATTTTAAAAAACGAATTCGGGTTTTTTCCTTAGGGAATATTTCATCCACATTAATAGCAATTCTTGAACGTATTCTAAACGAATAATAGACAAGACTAAGGCTTGATTGAAATATGGTTAGAATGTATAACAACATACGTATAACATTCCAGTGAATACTTTTAAAAACACAACAAATGCTTCATTTTTACTTTTTCTTTTTTATCTTTACTTTTCTTATTTTTTCAGTGGCAGCTTATAAATTTTTGAAAAGATAAAATACCTCTATTCTAATAAGTCTCGCAAGAATTTAAGTTTTAATAATTCCTAAAATTCCTTTTTTGCTTAACATTAAATTATAAATCTTTTGCTTGACATCAGGAATAAAACGTTAATTTATGATTCCGACTTTTTTTAATTTTCTGGTGATTTTAAAGTGATGTATTTCTAGTACAGTTATAAGCAAGTTTCTAGGTGAGTATATTTCCTCATATATTTACATATTTTAATGAAAATATTTCCCCACATAATTTGTATCTTTAGTATCAACATTAGGAATTGTTACTATAAAATAATTCTGATGTTATTTATTATTAATAATTATTTCATATAAATTATGGAAAAAAGGAAAATTTATCATTACTTAATATGACAGAGATCATATAATGACCATCCTTTGTATGACTAGTATCTTAAACAGAATCTATTGCTACTGAAACCTATTTTACAATTCTTCAGTAAGGATAAATTTTAGCAATAACGTTCGTATCAAATTAAAAGTTCTATATTTAATGTATTTGCTTAAATAGTGAAAAGACAAAGACGTTCTCATTGGTTTCTTTTCTCAAAGTCATCAATACATCTATAAGGTATTTCTCCCAACTTCTTGGCGTGCCTTCATTGTGTAGTGGTTCTGCACACTGGTCCGGTATTACAGAGGTCCGTGGTTTGATTCCCGGAGAAGGCGGTTGCTAATTTTTCATCTCTCCGGCTTCCAAAAATATACCTAATGTCTCTACAGTAGCGCCCGAACTAAAAGGGTGTTGGATGAGGATTCTCCACACCCAGGATTTGGCGATTAGGTTCCCTAAAAATCCCAATCGCCCTTTAAAAAGGGGAGTATATAAGGTATTTCTCCCGCCTTCCTAGCGTACGTTCGTGGTGTAGTGGTCAGCACACTCAGCCGGTATTTCAGAGGTCCGTGGTTCGATTCCCGGCGAAGGCGCTGCTAATTTTTCATCGCGCCTGCTTCCAAAAAAATACCTAATGTCTCTACACATCTAAGACAAATTTAATATAATATAAATATAATTAATTTTAGAATATTTCCCTCATTCCTTTCACACAGCTTGTCTGAAGAAGGGCGCAACGTAAACAAAAGCCGTCAGTAAGTTAATTAATAATTTAAATTATACGGTGTTTTTATACTTTTCCAGTGAAGCATCTCGGGATCCTATAATCATTTACGATTTGCATCAACGGTTGTTCTAGTCATAATATTTTTTGAAAAACTCATTATTTTGATAATTTCAAGTTTTCATAACTTACCATATAAATATATAGATCAGCCCTTCAGTTATTGTAACGAACCACTAGGATCCTTTGTGTTAACATATCTTTTCTTCATACGCCATTGTACTTTTTACTCCTTGTAGTCTTTTGTACTTTATACTTGTAGTTCTTTTTAGTTCGAATCCAACAAATTTATAAATAACTTAAACCGGGATTAAACTGAGAAATCACTTAGCCGTTGACGACTTTCTTGTACGAAGTAGAGGAAGTACCGTAATGGCGAAAAATTTCGGATATAATATTTCAACGAAAATATCCATTTTTACCGCTCTCGAATACATTTAAAAGTATTTCTGTGTGACATCTATACGTACGGATAGAATAAAGGACACTTATTCACAAAACGGATTGAAAAATGAGTTTAAAATGGATCCAGAAGAGATTTTTTTCGTAACGTCTATACGTACGTACTTACGTATCTATCTCGCATAACTCACAACCGAGTAGCATCAGGACGTTGGAATTTTGTATATGGACGTGCATCTCCCTATTCAGTTGTATATGTAGTTGTATATGTAGTTGTGCATCTCCCTATTCAGTTGCAAAATCGGCCGCACCAACGTATCTATACACATATATATGTATATGTAATAATTTTGATGCGTAGAAGAAGCCACTGGAACTCTTAACAGCTTTCGGTAGCGGTCATGGCTGTTGGTTGAATGCGTACAGACAAAGATGAGAAACTGGTTTTTTCCAAATCACCAATCTTTATTTTTACATACATCCAATTAGTTTGGCAGACACTTATTCAATCAAAATTAAATATGATAAATTTCAATGTACATTGGTTTTTTGAAAGAAATGACGTAGGCATTTGAGAAGCGAAGCAGCAAAGCGTCTTGCCAGAAAGAAAGTTTAAGCGAAAGAGAGCGCTGCAATTCAAAGAAAGAAGGGAGGGATTCAAAGTTTCAGTTCCGAGTTTAAAAAGTTTTAGTTTACAATTATTTTGATTGGGCAAGAGGTATCTGCATTGAACTTTACGTAACGTGGAAAGATCTCAAATTTAGGGGCACAGCATAAAATCTAAAATCGTTAATTTTAAGGTCGCCAATTATTCTTAAAGCAGCCATCATATTTCGTTATATCTTACTTATATATATTATATATATACTATATACCTACTCTGTTACCTCGCTCTGTGAGCTCAGGTTTCTTATTCTTATATGTGTGCATTTTTTTGCTTTAAAAGTGATTGAATTATGTTGTTCTTATGTTCCGGTTAAGATTTTTATGCCTTTATTAATCTGCGTGCTATAGCTCTAGAATTATCAACAATTTAAAAGTTGTTTAAGTTCCACTAAGCCTAACAAATATGCGATTTGTTTACATTTGAAACTCTTAGTAGAATTGTAAATTAAGTCATTTGGTGTACCAACTTCAATGTCTTTTTGCCGAGTGGGACCAAAAGTAAACTTTCATTTTTGTGCATCGAAAAATCTGTCTTCTTATCCGCTGACCGAATTGCTTGTTTTCGCGTAAATTCTAATTTTAATTGCAAGAACGTTTTTAACTGTTTTAACTGAATTTGGTGTTTTATATTTTCTGTATTTTACAATTTTTAATGAAGATGTTCTGAGTTTTATGTATTTTTGCCTTGCCGCGAAGTGCGAATTGAATTATTTAATGAGAAATATATCTATAACTGAAATTCGACAAAATAATTTAAATGAAAGGCAGCAAATATATGTGTAATTTAAAAGGCTGTACAAGGAAATTATGTGGCGTCCACATCAATTTTTTATGCAGTACAATTAAAGTTGAAAAAGGAAAAACTAAATTTGATTCCTTGTTTTATACAAAAACTTAAGCTGGGTTCCTTAGAAGTATTTACATACGGCAATTATTTCTAGATATTTTGAATGATCTCTGTAGTGAACTGTTTTACGTTGCAATAGCTTTTCTTCCCTCATTGAAGTCCAACACATAACATTTTACATTGAGCAATGTCTTTTAGAAAATGAGAATTGTTTTTTAAACGTTTCATATGTATTATTATCGAGTTCTAATTTTCCGAATACCTTATAAGAATGTAAACGTTTATCATCTGAAAATTCGTTTCTTTTAAATATATCATGAACAGACCTTATTTTCGCGTAGCTTCTTCTTTTTTTCTACATTTTCTTTAACTTTCTGCACTGTGAACCCGATAACTTCTTTCTTGGCTCTGTTACACTACGTGATATGAAATCATAATTAAACAGAAGCAAAATATGCTCCTTTGCAATGTCAGTGGTTGTTAATTTTTAATTTTAGTTATAACTTATGCACAAATGACGAATATAGACGTAATGAAGTGCTCTTATGCGTATATACTACATAGTACAGATGAAAAGAGCTATCTGACGTAAGGGAGCAATACAGATTGCCAGGATTGCTCTGTATAAGTTTACGTTTCAATCCAGGATATGCCTGTCGATGAATAAGCATGTATGTTAATATTTACAAATTTTGCAATATTCTTAAAGCAGTTTAGATTTTAAAGAATTATGGCGCCTTTACTTTCTGCTTATTCTGTTCTGTCAAGCCAAGTATTTAGGTTAGAAACGAGGAAGCATTCATGCACGCCGTCAGTTTTGAAACCAGGGCGTCAAGAGAATACTCAGACTAGCATTCTAAGAACACTGCGGCTTCATATATGTTTATCCATTTTCAAATCTGTTTGAAAACTAGACAACAATCATTTTATACTAATTTTTAAATTTATGCAAATATTTCTACACATAAACGAAACTTAAAGCGAATTTCTTCTCTTCTTAGCTGACGTTTTCTTCCAAAAAGGTCATTTTAAAAGTTGACGGATACGGAATGCGAAGATCCTAGAACATTGTTGTTTGGAAAGAAACGGAAATACTTGACATATAAAGCATAATCGTTGAGAGAAAACTGGAAATCCATGCAAATCTTAAACATCGCTGCATTTTGAAGGCAATGTGCAATAAAAAATTTAGAAACATATTGTAAGAAATTATCATATCCCTTCTTACGTGATCTGAGGACGTAAGTGGTCAGGGCGTCCAATTAGCAAACTGAAAAAATCCGTAGTTTGGACACACTAATTTTACTAAAAAGTC